CCATCCACCAATTATCCTGGGGCAGTATCTGTATCAAAGCACATTATGATAACACAATCACACACACATTGAAGTCTTGTAGCGATAAGAGGCTGCATGGATTTGAGGAAAATTGGAAACATCAGGATCTTTACCCTTTTTATGAAACAGATTCAAGCAATGTGCCCAGAAATGTACAGTTCAAGGAAATAAAATAAAAAATACTGATTTCAAATACGGTTTAGTAAATACACAAAAATAACATGAATTAGAGAAGCTTATCCACTTTCCTAAGGGAGGAGTAGGCCTATTACAAAAGGTATGATACCTTTGTCTTATCAATTTTGAACCATCAGAATTAAGCATAGGCACATTACTTGAAGCTGTTATTGAGGTTCTTTTAAAACGTCTCTTGAAACTGTGAATACAATTTTAACATTGAATGTGCTTCCCTCTGCTGGATACAACCATAACTGCATCCTGAGTATGAATTCTAATGAACTATTCTGCCCTTCTCTGATCCCATCCAAAGAACCAATTGTGCCTCTTGACATGATAAATGCTACAGGTTATGCATTATTCAGTAAATATCAGGAGTTCAACTGACAACACAGACACACAATCCCTGCCTCATGTGTATATTGTACATGACACGATGCTGGTTGTATATAAAAGTAGGCCTAACTGCATCAAAATCGATTAAAAAGACAGTTAGGCCTCCTTCACAAGTGGTAATTCAGAGCCCACTCAGTAACCAGAATAATTGTCGTTAGGTAATAGTCTAGCCTACACACACATTTTATCTTCGTGTTAGGTCAGATGGATCAACTTGCTTGCGAGGAGGACGCTGCTGGTAAACAGGATAATTATCTCACCCTACTTTACACATGGTCATATAGGCCCCATGAGAAAAAAATCAGAAACTAGATTTTTATAGGCGGACATGAGAAGTATGTGTTGTTTCTTTTGTGGTATTTTGTTTTCTATGGAACATTTATGTATAAAAGGTTTGTTATTCAAGTTAGCGGCACTGTTTTCCAGGGTCCGATTAAGTTTTCTAAATATTTAAAATTACAAATGAGAAATGAATTGAAATATCAATTGGTTTTAAAACAAGATATGACAAATATAAATTACATATGGGTTTCCTTACCCTTTAAAAAGTATATAGACAAGGTATGAGAGTAATCAATGCTTTGGTTTTGTTTATCTGGACACTGTTTAAAATGCTAACTATTTAGCATTTGTGGCACAAATCCAATGCAAGTCAATGTTACCTACAGTGAGGGAAAAAAGTATTTGATCCCCTGCTGATTTTGTACGTTTGCCCACTGACAAAGAAATGATGAGTCTATAATTTTAATGGTAGGTTTATTTGAACAGTGAGAGACAGAATAACAACAACAAAAATCCAGAAAAATGCATGTCAAAAATGTTATAAATTGATTTGCATTTTAATGAGGGAAATAAGTATTTGACCCCCTCTCAATCAGAAAGATTTCTGGCTCCCAGGTGTTAAAGGGAGTGCTCCTAATCTCAGCTTGTTACCTGTATAAAAGACACAGCAATCAATCAATCAGATTCCAAACTCTCCACCATGGCCAAGACCAAAGAGCTCTCCAAGTATGTCAGGGACAAGATTGTAGAACTACACAAGGCTGGAATGGGCTACAAGACCATCGCCAAGCAGCTTGTTGAGAAGGTGACAACAGTTGGTGCGATTATTCGCAAATGGAAGAAACACAAAATAACTGTCATTCTCCCTCGCCCTGGTGCTCCATGCAAGATCTCACCTCGTGGAGTTGCAATGATCATGAAAACGGTGAGGAATCAGCCCAGAACTACACGGGAGGATCTTGTCAATGATCTCAAGGCAGCTGGGACCATAGTCACCAAGAAAACAATTGGTAACACACTACGCCGTGAAGGACTGAAATCCTGCAGTGCCCGCAAGGTCCCCCTGCTCTAGAAAGCACATAAACATGCCTGTCTGAAGTTTGCCAATGAACATCTGAATGATTCAGAGGAGAACTGGGTGAAAGTGTTGTGGTCAGATGAGACCAAAATGGAGCTATTTGGCATCAACTCAACTCGCCGTGTTTGGAGGAGGAGGAATGCTGCCTATGACCCCAAGAACACCATCCCCACCGTCAAACATGGAGGTGGAAACATTTTGCTTTGGGGGTGTTTTTCTGCTAAGGGGACAGGACAACTTCACCGCATCAAAGGGACGATGGACGGGGCCATGTACCGTCAAATTTGGGTGAGAACCTCCTTCCCTCAGCCAGGGCATTGAAAATGGGTTGTGATTGGGTATTCCAGCATGACAATGACCCAAAACACACGGCCAAGGCAACAAAGGAGTGGCTCAAGAAGAAGCACATTAAGGTCCTGGAGTGGCCTAGCCAGTCTCCAGACCTTAATCCCATAGAACATCTGTGGAGGGAGCTGAAGGTTCGAGTTGCCAAACGTCAGCCTCGAAACCTTAATGACTTGGAGAAGATCTGCAAAGAGGAGTGGGACAAAATCCCTCCTGAGATGTGTGCAAACCTGGTGGCCAACTACAAGAAACGTCTGACCTCTGTGATTGCCAACAAGGGTTTTGCCACCAAGTACTAAGTCATGTTTTGCAGAGGGGTCAAATACTTATTTCCCTCATTAAAATGCAAATCAATTTATAAATTTTTTGACATGCATTTTTCTGGATTTTTTTGTTGTTATTCTGTCTCTCACTGTTGAAATAAACCTACCATTAAAATTATAGACGGATCATTTCTTTGTCAGTGGGCAAACGTACAAAATCAGCAGGGGATCAAATACTTTTTTCCCTCACTGTATATCAGCATTTTTGCACTTCATGTCAAAATCATCTATAAGTAACATTGAGTTACACAATCCATTTTTAGATAATATAATAATAATAATAATATGCCATTTAGCAAACGCTTTTATCCAAAGCGACTTACAGTCATGTGTGCATACATTTTTACGTATGGGTGGTCCCGGGGATCGAACCCACTACCCTGGCGTTACAAGCGCCATGCTCTTCCAATTGAGCTACAGAGGACCACCACAGATACTTTAGGATGATTTGGACATGAGGTGCAAAAATGCTGTAGGTACCACTGATTTGCATTGGATTTGTGCCACAAATACTACAATGTTAGCATTTGTAACAGTGGCCAGGTAAATGAAACCAAAGCATGGATTGCTGTCACACTAAGACTGCTTACAGACTGCTTACATGGATTGCTGTCCATAGACTTCTTACAGGGTCAGGAAACCAATAAGCAATTTTGTAATGTGTGTTAACTATCCCTTTAACTATAGCCAAGAACCACAGAAAGCCTAACTAACCCATAGTTAAATTAGTCAAAGGAAGCTAAACTGCAGTTCACTGACTTACAGTATCTACGACATAGTAATATGTTACATTATCAATCACAGTTGTGGCTTACATTCAAATATACCGAGATATACTTGATCTTGCACAGTTAATTGATTGCAGTACCCTGATTTTATACAAACATGTCCAGTTTTGCCACAGTGTATACAGTGTGTCACGTTTTTTAATCATTTATAACAATAGTGTAGATGTCACTCCTTCAAGTGCACAATCCAGTACACTATGTGTATCATAACACAATCACAAGGAACTGAAATAGTGCTTAGGCAGTCAGATCAACAATACATAGACACAGTACAAGTCGATCACAGTCTAAAAACTATATTTTGCACACGTTAATCTTTATTTATAGTACCAGTCAAAAGTTTGGACACACCTACTTATTCAGGGGTTTTTCTTTATTTTTTACAATTTTCTACATTGTAGAATAATAGCCTCACAGGCAGCACATTGGTCCTCTGTTTGAGATGGACTGGATGACTTTTTCCAAACTCTCCATCTTCTATTCTTATATCATTGCACAAGTCAGGGCCTTTGTTGTTGGGAAAAGCTGCCCCAATGTACTGTATAGTTTCCATCAAATTTTCCCTCTTCTCTTGTGATGTCATTCAGACAACCTGAGATGCACTTAGATCCCCACTGAGTGTTTCTGGCTCGGGGTGAGGTGAGGCTCAGCTGCATACTCTGTCTCTCACATTTCTACTGTCGCTGTCGCTTTTTATTATTGGCAGTACTCTTAAGTCCCAGGCAATGTACAATATTATACAGTTTTGATAGATGTATCACGTATAAAAAGACTTCTCCACTAATTCAGTTGTCCGTACTAACTTCCGAGGTGTTCAGCGCCTCTTCTTTCTAGGGATGTAGAAACACAGACACATGAGAAGAGAAACATTGACATGGGTTTGAGTTATACTTCATCTCCACTAGGTGTCAGTGAGGAAACATAGCGTTAGCACTGGGTAACATTCACAAGAGTGAAACACACTGAACGTTGCAGATAAAATAATGAAAAGAGCTGAAATTATTTATTCCTCTACGTGTCAGAGAGGCATGTCATATTTAATAATATGCCATTTAGCAGACGCTTTTATCCAAAGCGACTTACAGTCATGTGCGCATACATTTTTACGGTTGGGTGGTCCCGGGGATCGAACCCACTACCCTGGCGTTACAAGCGCCATGCTCTACCAATTGAGCTACATATCTGAACACAGCCCTGTACTCTACTGTACAGCCAGCTGCTGGATTTGGGGGAGGGGAGGCACAGTATGTGAATAGAACACTGCTGTCGGTCTTAGTTCTGTGAATCGATGGATAGGAGAACAGCTGGGCTCGTGAAACAGAATAAGAAAAGAAACACAAGGGACAGAAGGGGAGGCTCAAGCATCATACCCTTTCTCTTCCTCAACAGCTGTTCAAGTCTCTCTGCTTCACTGTGGTTCGAAAAGTCTCTGCTTTGTTGAACACACACTGAGGAATTATGTCCTCATTCATTCATTCATTCATTCACTCTTTCATTCTGACTCTCTGGCTCTCTCCCCACTAACTCCCATGATAAATGGCACCCCATGATAAGACGTTTTATTGGTCAGAACAAAACTCTTGGCCCTTCTCATAAACCCTCAAATACTTGTTCATCAATCCCTGCCAGCCCCAATCCCCAACTCCTGCTCCCTTTCCTAACCTCCATCTGTTGGTGGATCCACTTGAGGGACTGGGTGACGCGGGTGTACACCCCAGGCTTGTTCCTATCAGCACAGCCCTGGCCCCAGCTAGTGGCCCCCACCAGCTTCCACACTGAGTCCTCGCATGCCAGAGGTCCCCCGCTGTCCCCCTGGGGGCCACAAACACAACAGTAAAACCCCAGGCTCTCACAGAAAGGCCCTAGACACAGCTAACATTTTACCAGCAGTGAAAACATATCAGCATATATATATTTAACACATGTAGACTTACACAATCACAAAAGGTCTCACTCTGTACTAAGGCTCACCACCATCAGCTTACAGTACCTGGCAGGAGTCTGTTCCTCCCTCCAGGTAACCTGCACAGATCATCCCAGGGGAGATGTAGCCCTGGTAGACCCCAGGCGCGCTGCACGCCTTAGCGGAGATGAGTGGGACCCGGGCAGAGAGCAACGAATCACTAGCTTCTCCTGGCAAAGAGCAGACTACATTCAGACAAAGTATACATTTACAAAGAAAAACATTTTAAAACTCTATGACTCCTAGACTGACTACTTGTGTGAATAGAGGAACAGCATGTGAGATGCTTAACAGCCTAGACTCGCCCCCTTCTGAAGTGGCCCCCCAGCCTGAGATCCAGCACATGGTCCCGTCCTCAAAGTCCTCCCCAAAGTTAGGTAGGCAGATGGGCTCCACTAGACCTGGAGCAGGAAGGGAGGACGGGTCAGAGAAACAAACTACACTTCCCAGAAACACCTGGGTTTAAAATAGTGATAAAGTAAGAGTTCACTAAGACAATCTACTATTTACCTGATTCTTATTCCTGGGCAACTAACAAATGGCTAGAAAACAATGCATTCAATAATGAAAAGTGAGCTAGAGTAGAGATGCAGGATTGCAGGAAAACAAGAGTAGGGGTGTGGGTGAGCCTTATGGCCTCAACCACAGACAGACCATTCACTTAATGACATGTCGCTGTCAGAGCCCGGGAAACCTGAGAGAGAGACAGCCAGGTGACCAGAGAGAAGAGGGGGTGTATTGGGGTAAAAAGAAAGAGTGGAAAGTGTGAAAAAATGAGGGATGGAGGGAGATGATTAAGATGGATAAAAAAAGGAGTTACAGAAACAAAGCATAGGATATACTATGAGCCGTGCACCTGCCTCCGTCCCCTGTAGCTCAGTTGGTAGAGTATGGCGCTTGCAACTCCAGGGTTGTGGGTTCGTTTCCCACGGGGGGGCCAGTATGAAAATGTATGCACTCACTAACTTAAGTCGCTCTGGATAAGAGCGTCTGCTAAATGACTAAAATGTAAATGTAAATGTCCCTCCCTCCATTCATAAAGACAAATGGAGAGAGATCAGAGATGTACAGTATGTCTAAAGACAGAGGGGTCCCTACCTACCGTTAAAGGTGAGTGGCTCAGCCAGCTTCATCAGAGCGATGTCATAGTCTAGGGCCTTGGGCCGGTAGCGGCCATGGTAGATAATCTTCTGTACTGCCAGAGCCTGAGCCCCATTCACCGGCTGCTCTGTCAATCCTACATGCACTGCCCACAGTGTGGGGAACGCAAACCTGAGGAAGGAGGAACAGTATGAGATGTGTGGGATTGTGTGTGTGTTTGTCATATGATTATGCGTTTGTGTGTGTGTGTATGTGTTTGTTCTCTTTCGACTCACTCATACACGCAGTGTGCAGCTGTCAGTATCCAGCTGTCTGCTACGACGGAGCCTCCACACAAGTGTTCGCTCTGGAAGTGCAGGCTCACCTGCCAGGGGAACTGGCCCGGTGCTGATACATTACCCCCAACAATACGACTGCTGAACTGGGGTCTGGAGCCGCACTCTGCAGACACATGCACAATATGCACTTACAATTATATTATTACCTTTATGTATAGTTTCCCACTTTCCTTAAATATCCACTCACCCAGGCATTTGATTGTGGTCACCGTCTCTGAGCTGCATTGAGTCTTACTGGAGAAAGAGAGGAAAGGGAGAGCAAGACGAGGGGAGAGCAGAAGACAGAGATGCTCAGAATACTGATAGCAAAATAATTATGTTTTCTCAAAACAGCATCCGTCTCTATCATCTCTCTTGTTCTGATGTGGTGACAGTGGGCTACCTGAGGCCGGCGGCGTTATGAATCTTGATGGCCTGTTGGCCCGACTGGCTCAGGTTGATTGACACCAGGTTTTGCTGGAAATCCTGCTCTATAGCAGAGAGGGGGAGGGAGCGGGACTCCACATACCTGAGGGGTGAATAGAATAGATTATTGCCAATGAATCAGAAACACCCTCCGAAAACTCATCTATTATCACCAGGCAAGCTCTATCCTGGAACACACAAGGGCAATGAAAAAGAGGGCTCAAGAAGGCCAATAACGCATATCATGTTAAATACCCTAGTCATACCTGGAGTAGCCCAGCTGCTTGCAGGCAGAAAGGCCCAGAGCAGGGTTCCAGTCTTCAGAGCAGACAGTCCTCCACACTCCTCCACTCAGCACCTGGAGCACTGAGCTCTTTCCACTCAAACGCACTGTACGAACAGTCAGGTCGAGAAGGAGACAGAAGTAGAGATACTGGTAGAGAGAGTGAGGAATATAGGCTTCTACTGAATGAGTCCCTTGACCAGCTGCGTCTCAATAGTCTAATGTGTCCTTGTCCTTGTGTATGTTGGGATAAAACAGTAGCTCTGCTCACCACAGCTAAGCTCGTCCTCCCCATTCTCACAGTCCATCACCCCGTCACATTGCGCTGAGCCACTGATGCAGTGAGAGGACGTACCACAGCGGAACTTCCCCACACAGCTCAGACTCACTGTGGAGACAGAAAAAAAACCTTAACATGCTGTTGTTTGTAAACTGACACCAGACAACAACACTTTGTTTCTGTCTTTACTGTGCAAACAGGGTTCCAGGCATTGATTGACTTTAAAGCAGGACAGGAACCAAATTGTATAATGGGTGTCATGACTTGCCCTCATGGGCTGAGGATCAAAGATGCCGGCTAGGCAAAGGTTTGAACACCCCCTCTCCTGGGGACCTGTTTTATGATCGGTCATAAATTCCTTGCATAAACTCTCTTTTCCATGCCATGCAGTATTGGGAGAGGGTATTTCCCTGTGAAACAAAGGAAGTCTTCCCGCCAAGACTCCAACATCCAAAAGTGGATAATGAAACAATATTCATACTTCAATGAATGTGGGAAATGGTCGGTGGCGACTTAAAGAACAATCATGTCAAATTCGTTACTATGTTGTGATGTCATTAAAGACGGTGGAACAACATAACTGCATCTCTGGGGGATGTACACTTCCCAGTTATGAGGTTTGCATCTAATTGTTGTATAAAACAAATGATTAAGTATAATAATACTTTTGTGAAGATAACAATGTGATACAAAATGGTTTAAAACAACAACTCCATTACCAAAGGAAGACCAAACAGATTACAGTATAAGCCGGATGTTGCAAATTGTTGAATTTCTACCAGACCAGGAAGCGTGAAGCTGAAGCTACACAGGTTAAAATGGTTAGACCAGGAAGCCCCACAGCTTAAAATGGTTGACACTACAGACCAGCCAACAGGCAGCGTAAGCTGAATATGGCTAAATGGTGAAACTCTCAACCTCTACACGAGAAGAAGACAACGCACTAGACCTTATCATCTCAGTCTGCAGCTGGCATGTATAGTCGTCTAGAGAACTTTCATTAAAGACACGAGTTGGGAAGGACAATCCCTCTCAGACAACCGTTGGTACATCCGAAGTATCTATCTAACAGTTCAACTCTACGAACTACAGGGTACGCTGAAGTATCCATTGTAACCACCACTAAGACCAGAAACTCTACCAAAGACATTGGGATCTCTGGTGGGCAAACCAGAGTCCTACGTCATCAACTCAACTATCGAGGACAGCTACACATAAATACATGTTGCATTTCTAATCCGAATGAGCAGGTGCTAAGCATTTGTATTTCCGTGAGCGTAGTTAAGAAATGTCCGATAGGTGAATTCCTTTATCTCTTCCTTTCCCCCCTCTCTCTGAATCAGCCAACCCTCCTTCTACCCAAGCATTCATGCTATTGTTAGTCCAGTCCACTAGGGACCTGTTTTCATTGTATTACATTAGTAATCAATAACCTATGTGTGCGTGTGTGTTTGCATTCTGTGTAATTATTTAGTTGGTAAATAAATAATTAAGCCAATTTGTGTATTGCTGATTCATCAATAAGATTAGGGTTCTTGCAGGTTCAAGGATTATGCGATGTTCAAAATGAGACTGATAAGAGGTAATTATTTAATAAGTGACTGTTATTGATATATGACATATATATCTTCTTGGAGTTTAATTCAGGCGATGGTAACTCGTTAAGAAACGTATTCCGTGTGGCCCCAAATTCCTAATGAGTTAATTGTTACATGATTAATTTAATCGAGTGACAATTAAACATAGTTAGGTAATTCGATAAATAACAGTCATACATTAAAGTAAGTCACGTCACTGGATAGGGGTTAATTAATTATTTAAAGAGCTGAGGGAAGCAGTATAATGAATTAATTACAAAAAGACTATGTTCGTTAGTGCTCACCTCCCAGCCCAATGCCCAGCGTGAGAATGACCACCATGAGGACCGATGCTCCAATCAGCAGCTCCATCCTGCGAGCCACCAACCGGCCACACCACGTTTTCTCCTCTGAGGGATCATCCTCTGTCAAAGGATGACAAAGGAATTTTGAATTCAAAGAGCCTCTCCGGGGCCAACCACTACACTCTTAGAGAAAAGGTTATTCGGTTTGTCCCCATAGGGGAACTCTTTTTGGTGCTGGGTAGAACCCTTTGCAGATGGTTCTATCTAGAACCCTCTATGTAGGGTTCTTCAAAGAACCCCCTGTATATGGTTTTACCTAATCACTCTATGTAGGGTTCTGCTTAGAACCCTCTATGAAGGGTTCTACCAAGAACCATTCTATCTTTGGAGGGTTCTTTCTAGAACCCTCTATAAACGGTTCCACCAGCTTTATAAGCCTTTAAAATGTAATTATTTAATACAATACATTGCATATATCATAAGGCCTTTTTTTGAGGTCCTAGTTATACCCTAACACAGTGATGTTAGGAATATCCTGGTTTACAGGCCACATCAGGCCTGCAAGTCACATTATGCTGCCTTGCAAAGTGACGTGTAATTGGCATCCAGCCAGAGTTAGGATATCCAAAAAGTGGAATTGTTAGTCACCCGCAACCTGCATTCAGAATGACTGCTAGGGTAGGGAAGACTGAATACTGAGACTACCTCAATCATCTAAACTGGAACAACCATCTCAGTAACAGGTGCAATAAATCCAATTACTAACAGATTGGATTAGATTAGAAAACTGTATATTATTTATCTTTGTATAGCATAAAATGTATCAACCAATCAATGTACATGCAAAAACACAAATATTACAGTAAAACAAACTATTCTGAAAATGTCCTTGCAATTGAGCATAATGGGAAATATTATATATGGTTCTATGTAGAACCCTTCTTGCCATTCAAATAATCCTTCTTGCTTTCCAAATAATTATCAAAGAACCCTTTCTTCCAAAAACGGTTCATATGATGTTAAAGGTTCCAGATAGAACCCTTTACCTTACAAAGAACCCTCGTCTTCCAAAAAGGGTTCTTCTGATCAAAACGGTTATTGGTAGAACCCCCTCCGCAAATAACCAGTTTGGAACCCTTTTTTCCATGTTCATTCAAATGTAGGCATAGAATACTATAATCCACAATGGTGAACTCTTACCTATTACACTTCACACTCCACTGTACAGGTAGAGGAGTCCCAGTCTCTTACCATTCATGAAAGTCTGGACCTTAGTGATTGGCATGGCTGGACTTGGTGGGGCAGGGGGCGGGGCTTTGGGCTCAGTGGTGGGTTCAGGTTTGGTAGTGTCGGGTGGAGGGGTGTCATTGGGGCTGTCGAGGGGACTGACATTCAATGTGGTCGGGGTATCGACGGTCGGGAGGTCCTCATCAGTCACAGACACCACCTCTATCCTCCATGTGTCTGTCTGCTCGGCCTCAGGGGCCTATGGGATGATATGGATATTGACACAACGCTTATACTACTCAACGACCAATAGTATAGAGCCACGTGTATAGCTAACATAGACATGTAACCAAAGCTCTTGACAATTACCATGTGGATGGATAATATAACTTAAACATAATCAGAAGTAATTTCTGAACATGCATACACTCTTAGAAAAAAGGATGTGTTCTTACCGTGTCAGTGGCTGTGCTCTCCTCAGCAGCAGGAGCTGCTGGCTCCTCAGTGTTCTCTTGGTCTGCCATGTCTCCCCTCACACCCTGTCATCTATTGTACAGTCCATCTCAGAGCAGTTGACAGAAACACTCCATGGCATGGAATGGAAGAGAGGAGGAGAAAGAGGAGAAGAAAGACGGATGAGAGCGCAAAGTACAGGATAGACAAGATGAAAGACAAAAGAAAAGAGGTGAAAAGGCAAAGACCCAAAGAGATAAGAGAAGGAAGACTTGAGCAAACCAATCTGTAGATTGCCGCTAAAATGACTGCCTGACCAGCTACTTTTCTGGCCAACCTAGTGACCATTAGATTCCGGTAGTAATTATCTTGATCCTCTCCACCATCGTGTCTTTTTCTTCCAATCCGGATACCAACTGAACATACAGTTCTCTCCCTTTCTCTCTCCCTTAATGGGAGGTCTTATATCAACTGCCTTACCTGAACCCGCGCTCACCGCTCAGACACAAAGGGACACCTGAGTAGGCGAGTTCTGATCGAAGAGGCCTGCCACTCAGCGAGGGGATCAAATTATCCCACGCCTGCTCCTCCAGGGGTAGGGTTACACGTGGCACGGGGTGTGTGTCCCTCCCTGGACCGGACCACATGACATGGACATATAGTGAGGGAAAAAAGTATTTGATCCCCTGCTGATTTTGTACGTTTGCCCACTGACAAAGACATGATCAGTCTGTAATTTTAATGGTAGGTTTCTTTGAACAGTGAGAGACAGAATAACAACAAAAAAATCCAGAAAAACGCCACTTGAGCCACTCTTTTGTTGCCTTGGCCGTGTGTTTTGGGTCATTGTCATGCTGGAATACCCATCCACGACCCATTTTAAATGCCCTGGCTGAGGGAAGGAGGTTCTCACCCAAGATTTGACGGTACATGGCGCCGTCCATCGTCCCTTTGATGCGGTGAAGTTGTCCTGTCCCCTTAGCAGAAAAACACCCCCAAAGCATAATGTTTCCACCTCCATGTTTGACGGTGGGGATGGTGTTCTTGGGGTCATAGGCAGCATTCCTCCTCCTCCAAACATGGCGAGTTGAGTTGATGCCAAAGAGCTCAATTTTGGTCTCATTCAGTCCTTCACGGCGTAGTGTGTTACCAATTGTTTACTTGGTGACTATGGTCCCAGCTGCCTTGAGATCATTGACAAGATCCTCCCATGTAGTTCTGGGCTGATTCCTCACCGTTCTCATGATCATTGCATGGAGCCCCAGGCCGAGGGAGATTGACAGTTATTTTGTGTTTCTTCCATTTGCGAATAATCGCCCCAACTGTTGTCACCTTCTCACCAAGCTGCTTGGCGATGGTCTTGTAGCCCATTCCCGCCTTGTGTAGGTCTACAATCTTGTCCCTGGCATCATTGGAGAGCTCTTTGGTCTTGGCCATGGTGGAGAGTTTGGAATCTGATTGATTGATTGCTTCTGTGGACATGTGTCTTTTATACAGGTAACAAACTGAGATTAGGAGCACTCCCTTTAAGAGTGTGCTCCTAATCTCAGCTCGTTACCTGTATAAAAGACACCTGGGAGACAGAAATGTTTCTGATTGAGAGGGGGTCAAATACTTATTTCCCTCATTAAAATGCAATTCAATTTATAATTTTTTTTACATGTGTTTTTCTGGATTATTTTGTTATTATTCTGTCTCTCACTGTTCAAATAAACCTACCATTAAAATTATAGACTGATCATTTCTTTGTCAGTGGGCAAATGTACAAAATCAGCAGGGGATCAAATACTTTTTTCCCTCACTGTAGGGGGTGACGTGGTCACCTGTCCTTATAGTCTAGGCCGAACATAATGGCCAGCTGACAGTCTGTTAGTCTATAGAGTTCAGATCACTCAGATGTTCCCAGAAAAGTAATCAGCTCTCCATCAAAAATAGATTCACTCTTACAAATAATTTACCATTAAGTCATGATCAGTGTAATAATATGACTTTAAATAATAAAAAATGTGTCAGACGTAGTAAAAAAAACGGTACTAAATAAAAAGAACGAGAATGAAGAAGTAATATGACAATAAATAAACATAAATTGACCCCAAGTAAATTAGTTATTTTTTATTGTGCATTGTGGTGGAATCTTTCTCCCATATTGGAGGTCCAGTGAGAGGTCTGAGGTGACTTGAAATCCTGGGTGGTAAATCTATCTCTCCTCATCACGTCTCTTTGGCAAGCGCTTATGTCTTATTCAGTGAGGTGTGCATCATTCCCGAGAGAGAGGGGTTGGGGGCGGGGTCAGAGTGTGTGTAGAATAAATAGAGGAATAGACCTCATAACCTATGTACATGTACACTTCCCTATGTATGTATTTGGACAGGGATAATATATTTTTCTATTTGGCTCTATACTCCAGCATTTTGGATTTGAGTTGAAGGTGAGGTGACAATACAGAATGTCACATTTTATTTTAGGTTATTTTCATGCATATCTGATTTACCGTTTTGTAATGAAAGCAATTTATATATCTAGTCCCACCATTTGAAGATGTCATAAGTATTTGGACACATTTCACTTATAGCGTATTAAAGTTGTCAGAAGTTGAATATTTGGCCCCATATTACTTGCGCACAATGATTACATCAAGCTTGTGACTACAAACTTGTTGAATGCATTTGCAGCTTGTTTTGGTAGTGTTTCAGATTATGTTTTGCCCAAAAGGAAGTGAATGGTGAATAATGTACTGTGTCATTTTGGAGTAAATGTTATTGTAAGTAAGAAAATAAGATGTTTGTGAATACTTCTACATGAATGTGGATGCAACCATGATTATGGATAATCATAAATTAATCATGAATGAGAAAGTTACAGACGGACAAAGATCATACAGTAAATCAGGTATGAAAATACCCTCAAATTAATGGTGACATTCTGTCACCTCATATGAAACATTTGATCTCAAATCCAAAATAATGGAGTGTAGAGCCAAATATTTATTTTTGTATCACTGTCCAAATACATACCTTGGGGGGTGTATATTCATAGTAAATTGTAGTAAATATCAGGGCCGATTCCAGGCATAAGCAACATAAGTGGTCGCTTAGGGCCCCTGGCTGCTAGGGGCCCCCGACTAAAATACAACTTTTTTTTAGAACTTACACAAGGTGCAATTAAAAGATTGGGTTGTGCATCAGCAGTTTTTCTCTTGTTATGTCAGTCAATGACAATCACTCAATTAGCATGTCAGCTAACACTTTTTAGATTGGTAAATTAGTCTAGCCAGCTATCTAACTTAATAATCATGGCTGAATACCGACCAGGCACATAGGGCAGGTGCCCAGGGGCCCTGACCTCCAGGGGGCCCACATTGATTTTGTTAGTCGCTCTCACCCAGATATCATTAACATGGCATAAGTCATGTCAAAATGTGTACAATTGTAAATGCAAAATATTTCTCTAAACCCCAATGCAAAATGGGTAGATATGTTGGAAATTTGCTTTGAAACTCCACATTTTTTCACAAAAAATTTATAGAATTGCATTTTTTTTTGGGATGAAATGGCAACATTTTCTCTCTTCCCCATGGCAAAATGTGTAGAATTGCAGAAAGCTTGCTTTAAAACTGTAACATTTTCTTTACTTCTGATGGCAAAATATGTAGAATTGCAGGAAATTTACTTTAAAACTTTTCTCTCCGCCATCATGAGGGACCACTAAAATGTTTTGGCCGTGAGGTGGGGGGCCCCCCAAACAAATGCTTAGGGCCCCCAAAAGGCTAGGGTCGACCCTGATAAATATTATAAATAATGTGAAAAGTTAAAAAAAGGCAAGTGTAATGACCACAACTCAATCCGACTGACACTTTAGACTAAAAAACAAATATTTTTGTCCATAAATATCCTCATATTTCTAACAGATTATCCTTTAATCCAGTCCAGTCCAGTTACATCCAGTTATGCTAACAAAACAAACAAGGGCCGTGTGTGCGTTGACCCTTAGAGTTAGTCTACCATTATATGCCAATTTGCTTTTCTTCCGTTGCTTCCGTCATTTCAAGTATATCAGTCACACTGGGTAAAAGGGTGAAATGCCCAACAGTTGTATAGTTTGGGTTATTTCAACGTTGTAGGGATTTGCAGGATTCTCCTCACAGTTACAGTTGTGACCCCTGAGTTGGGGTCATTGGTTGTAAATGTTGTAGAAAGGTTGTAAAGGGGTTGCAGAGGGGTTACTTATGGAGCTCTGCGAGGGAGGAAGTGTGTGCAGGGCTGGTGTCTTCCAGCGCTGGTCCCCCTCTTAGCCTCTCCTTTATGGGACAGGGCCAAGTAGATGCCTGGGTGAGACAGGGAGGAGAAGGTGGTGTAGTGGTTCTCCTCCAGGCTCTCCTTAAACAGACAGTCAGATGAGAACTGTACCTGCGGGTGGACAAGATGAGATGCTCAGAAAAGCAAATGTCTTCATTGCATTACTATACCCCATTTATAACAGTCAAGTTAGAGTCATGTTAGATGTACTGAATTGTACTCACTGCTCCGTGTGCGATGCCCTCTTGGCTCATACAGAGATACAAGCCACTCTTGACGCCTCTGATTCCCACAACACCACACTTCATGGCAAACACCTTCAGCAAGCCTGCAGGATGCAAGGGATGGTGAGATACAGACTAACGCAAAAGAGTGACACACACACACGCAACAGGTTAATGATCTTACATCAAGGGGTTCCAGGTCTGTTTCATACCTGTTCTCTGAAATGGACAGTTCCTCTGACACTGACATAACAACTGATATACTGTATATTATTGTTATCAATTAAAGGGAGGTCAGCAGAACTTACTATGTTCAGTTGGTTCATGCACTCCTCCTACAGTTCCATTGGACAGGACCTGGAGATGGTATCCAATCCCAACACGGCAGTACAGCAGCTGTTGTTTGACCATTCCTCTGATTGGATGAGGAGGTGGCACACCTGAAGAGAGAGAGAGAGAGAGAGAGAGAGAGAGAGAGAGAGGGGGGGGGGGGTGTGTAAGAAATACAACTGTGGACACGTGCATTTTATCAGTGGAACTATAGTTCTGCTTTTATTCTCTTTTGTTGAAGTTTACTATACAGTAAGAGTATTAGGTAGCGTCCTGTCTCTCAAGGTGACAGCAAAGGCTAATGTATTCTACAAGCTGATCAGGGCAGGCTAGCCCAGACACAGTTACATAAGAGGAAAATATTTATCTAAACAAAGTAACCTCAGTCACAACAGTTTAAAGCTGTCTGGCAGAGGAATTTCACAACAGGTGATTTTTTAACCTTTTAACTTCCTAATGAACAAACATCCAACAAACACCTGCAGCCGGTCGGGAGGTCATTATGTTACAGTATGTAGGGCCAGGAGTTTATATGAAAAACTCTGGGTCCTAGTAAAATTATATCAGCATCTTGCAAGAAGACACAACCTTCTTGATATTTTATCTCATGTTGTTCTCACCTTTCGTTTTCTGCTTTGAGTCTTTCATTGACAACCTCCAAAGGCCTCGCAGTTGACTGCCCTGGTCCTCATTTGCATCTGCATAGTCATAATCCATACACACAGCCAGTAGCATCATCAGGAACGGGAACAGCAGGTGAGCATCCATAGTGATCAGCATTAGATACCAGACCTGGGTTCAAATACCTGTGTATTTGAGTATCTGGTATGTCAAATACTTTTTTCTGTGTATTTCAGTATTTTCAAATACACAGCCTAAAACAAGTACTTTTATTTGAGTATTTGAATGGTTATTAGTAAAAACCTAATTGTATTTGAGAGTATTTTCTAATACTAATTTCAAATACTATTTTCAAATACCTGGGTTAAATGCATGGGAGTGTATTTGAGTCAGTGTATTTAAGTATTTTTAAATACTTTCCAAGTGTATTTCCAAACACATTGAAATATTCAACTATTTGTCTATTCAAATAAAATAGATCTGAATACTTACTTCGAATGTATGTGAAAGTAATTGCGATATTTGAAATAGTACTTGAAACCAGGTCTGTTAAATACAAATCAATGGGCACCAGTTCCATTCTGCCATGTTGACAGCAAAGCCCCATACAGGGACAGTGAAGTTAAGCACACGGTCCTTCCATTCGGCCCACGCTGTCACCAGACCCACCAGTCAAGTTGTGGTGTTGCGGCTGTCAAAGTGCACCCAACCCTTAATACTTTTCCCAATCCTCCTCCAACCAATGCTGCTGAACGCGGTGTACTCCAGTCAAAATAAACACCTCTGCTACACAGGGTCAGTGTGCCTTCTCTCTGCCCTATCCACTTCCTCCCCTCTCACTCTGCTTTAACACTGCACACACACACACACACACACACACACACACACACACACACACACACAAACACACACCACTGTCCGTATGCCATCACATTTATAATATACACTTTGCTCTATGTCTCTTTTGAGAGGTGGCCCTGGTTAGACTTACAGTACATGACCTTCCCATGTCACTAATTGTTCAAATGCAGATTAACCTGATCAAGAGTTTCATTTTAAAAGATATACCATTAGAATGCTGTAACGCTAACCTGATTTGAGTTGGTATTATATCATTATTTTGAATAAGTCTATCAGGGAGAAGTACGGACACAGATAAACCTAATGACGTTGTTGTTTGGGTATGCGTGTGTGTCTTTGACAGACTTTGACATACACACTGTTGGAAATTCTAAGACCCATAGGCATTATAATAAACTACAATGTTGCCTCTGACAGAGAATATGCATGCTTTATAATTTACATTTACATTTACGTCATTTAGCAGACGCTCTTATCCAGAGCGACTTACAAATAGGTACATTCACCTTATAGCCAGTGGGATAACCACTTTACAATGTTTATTTTTTTTAATTTTTTTAAATTTTGGGGGGGGGTGGGTTGGGGTAAGGGGGGGGGGGGGGTAGAAGGATTACTTTATCCTATCCCAGGTATTCCTTAAAGAGGTGGGGTTTCAAATGTCTCCGGAAGGTGGTGAGTGACTCCGCTGTCCTGGCGTCGTGAGGGAGCTTGTTCCACCATTGGGGTGCCAGAGCAGCGAACAGTTTTGACTGGGCTGAGCGGGAACTATGCTTTTGCAGAGGTAGGGGAGCCAGCAGGCCAGAGGTGGAAGAACGCAATGCCCTCGTTTGGGTGTAGGGACTGATCAGAGCCTGAAGGTATGGAGGTGCCGTTCCCCTCACAGCTCCGTAGGCAAGCACCATGGTCTTGTAGCAGATGCGAGCTTCAACTGGAAGCCAGTGGAGTGTGCGGAGGAGCGGGGTGACGTGAGAGAACTTGGGAAGGTTGAACACCAGACGGGCTGCGGCATTCTGGATGAGCTGTAGGGGTTTAATGGCACAGGCAGGGAGCCCAGCCAACAGCGAGTTGCAGTAATCCAGACGGGAGATGACAAGTGCCTGGATTAGGACCTGTGCCGCTTCCTGTGTAAGACAGGGTCGTACTCTCCGAATGTTGTAGAGCATGAACCTACAGGATCGGGTCGCCGCCTTGATGTTAGCGGAGAACGACAGGGTGTTGTCCAGGGTCACGCCAAGGCTCTTCGCACTCTGGGAGGAGGACACAACGGAGTTGTCAACCGTGATGGCGAGATCATGGAACAGGCAGTCCTTCCCCGGGAGGAACAGCAGCTCCGTCTTGCCAAGGTTCAGCTTGAGGTGGTGATCCGTCATCCATACTGATATGTCTGCCAGACATGCAGAGATGCGATTCGCCACCTGGTTATCAGAAGGGGGAAAGGAGAAGATTAGTTGTGTGTCGTCAGCGTAGCAATGATAGGAGAGGCCATGTGAGGATATGACAGAGCCAAGTGACTTGGTGTATAGCGAGAATAGGAGAGGGCCTAGAACTGAGCCCTGGGGGACACCAGTGGTGAGAGCACGTGGTGCGGAGACAGCTTCTCGCCATGCCACTTGTTAGGAGCAACCGGTCAGGTAGGACGCAATCCAAGAGTGAGCCGCGCCGGAGATGCCCAGCTCGGAGAGGGTGGAGAGGAGGATCTGATGGTTCACAGTATCAAAAGCAGCAGACAGGTCTAGAAGGACAAGAGCAGAGGAGAGAGAGTTAGCTTTAGCAGTGCAGAGAGCCTCCGTGACACAGAGAAGAGCAGTCTCAGTTGAATGACCAGTCTTGAAACCTGACTGGTTTGGATCAAGAAGGTCATTCGGAGAGAGATAGCAAGAGAGTTGGCTAAAGACGGCTCGCTCAATAGTTTTGGAGAGAAAACAAAGAAGGGATACTGGTCTGTAGTTGTTGACATCAGAGGGATCGAGTGTTGGTTTTTTGAGAAGGGGTGCAACTCTCGCTCTCTTGAAGACGGAAGGGACATAGCCAGCGGTCAAGGATGAGTTGATCAGCGAGGTGAGGTAAGGGAGAAGGTCACCGGAGATGGTCTGGAGAAGAGAGGAGGGGATAGGGTCAAGCGGGCAGGTTGTTGGGCGGCCTGCCGTCACAAGTCGCAAGATTTTATCTGGAGAGAGAGGGGAGAAAGAAGTCAAAGCATAGGGTAGGGCAGTGTGAGCAGGACCAGCAGTGTCATTTGACTTAACAAACAAGGATCGGATGTCATCAACCTTCTTTTCAAAATGGTTGACGAAGTCATCCACAGAGAGGGAGGAGGGGAGGGGGGGTGATTCAGCAGGGAGGAGAATGTGGCAAAGAGCTTCCTAGGGTTAGAGGCAGATGCTTGGAATTTAGAGTGGTAGAAAGTGGCCTTAGCAGCAGAAACAGATGAAGAAAATGTAGAGAGGAGGGAGTGAAAAGATGCCAGGTCCGCAGGGAGTCTAGTTTTCTTCCATTTCCGCTCAGCTGCCCGGAGCTCTGTTCTGTGAGCTCGCAATGAGTCATCAAGCCACAGAGCTGGAGGGGAGGACCGAGCCGGCCGGGAGGATAGGGGACATAGAGAGTCAAAGGATGCAGAAAGGGAGGAGAGGAGGGTTGAGGAGGCAGAATCAGGAGATTGGAGGGAGAAGGATTGAGCAGAGGGAAGAGATGATAGGATGGAAGAGGAGAGAGTAGCGGGAGAGAGAGAGCGAAGGTTGCGACGGCGCATTACCATCTGTGTAGGGGCAGAGTGAGTAGTGTTGGAGGAGAGGGAGAGAGAAAAGGATACAAAGTAGTGGTCGGAGACATGGAGGGGAGTTGCAGTGAGATTAGTAGAACAACAGCATCGAGTAAAGATGAGGTCAAGCGTATTGCCTGCCTTGTGAGTAGGGGGGGACGGTGAGAGGGTGAGGTCAAAAGAGGAGAGGAGTGGAAAGAAGGAGGCAGAGAGAAATGAGTCAAATGTAGACGTAGGGAGGTTGAAATCCCCCAGAACTGTGAGGGGTGAGCCATCCTCAGGAAAGGAACTTATCAAGGCGTCAAGCTCATTGATGAACTCTCCAAGGGAACCTGGAGGGCGATAGATGACAAGGATATTAAGCTTAAATGGGCTAGTGACTGTGACAGCATGGAATTCAAATGAGGAGATAGACAGATGGGTCAGGGGAAAAATTGAGAATGTCCACTTGGGAGAGATGAGGATTCCTGTGCCACCACCCCGCTGACCAGATGCTCTCGGGGTATGCGAGAACACATGGTCAGACGAGGAGAGAGCAGCAGGAGTAGCAGTGTTTTCAGTGGTAATCCATGTTTCCGTCAGCGCCAAGAAGTCGAGGGACTGGAGGGTAGCATAGGCTGAGATGAACTCTGCCTTGTTGGCAGCAGAACGGCAGTTCCAGAGGCTGCCTGAGACCTGGAACTCCACGTGGGTGGTGCGTGCAGGGACCACCAGGTTAGAGAGGCAGCAGCCACGCGGTGTGAGGCGTTTGTGTAGCCTGTGCAGAGAGGAGAGATCAGGGATAGGCAGAGGCATAGTTGACAGGCTGCAGCAGATGGCTACAATAATGCAGTGGTACTCAACGCTTACCCTACAAGGTCCGGAGCCTGCTGGTTTTCTGTTCTACCTGATAATTAATTGCATACACCTGGTGTACCAAGTCTAAATCAGTCCCTGATTAGAGGGAAACAATGAAAAAATGCAGTGGAACTAGCTTCGAGGTCCAGAGTTGAGTTTGAGGGCTTTATCAGATCAAAACTCTAAGAAATACAAAGGTATGTTATATCACTCATCCTCATTCTCTGCCCACCAGTCATGCGTAAGGATACTGTACACTACAGTATCAGTGAGATTGCATGGCAGGCCTAATCACTGGTCTGTGCTGGTCTGCAATCAAAGACACAGAGAGAGAGTGTGATTAAGTGCATTTAGGCTGGTTATTACGTCTCTCAAACAAGATTCAAAACTGGTGGTGATACAGGACGTTTGTTGCGAAGACCCTCACATGACCTTTGAGTCTGAAAAACGTAAGACTGATCATTGAGATAAAGCAAGGAAAACTCCCTCTTGGCTTTATCTTTATGAGACTGACGTCTGTCTGTGAGCCATTTTCTTATACAGCACAAAATGTCTGACAAGAGAAAGCATATCATTCAGACAAGTCAAAGGTTGTTTGATAAAGAAAAGTAAACAGGTGGTTCTGTGATCATTCTTTGAATTATTGTCATTTTTAATAGCAGGTGTAATAATTACTGATGATAAACAATGAAAACCATTTAGTTCTTTGTTATCAATAAAAATCATCATCATGAAATGTTATACTGAATGTACATGTTGGGCGCGTTCCCCTGCTCAGACAGTTCATTGCGCAGTCGCAGATGCCCCTCTCTCGCATGCCTGCCTCACCTGGGGCAACAATAGATATTCCTGTTTTTCTACAGTCAAAAACTACAATAGCCACAAGACTGTTGACAGCCAAAGCAGGCTGACTGTAGTTGTTTAACGCAGAAGTCAGCCTACTTCCTGTAGTCTCAAAATGATACACGTTTTGTTTAATGTAATAAATGATTTCTACTTCAAATGGAGCAGACTTAATAACATTAATAACATGTATTAAATCATGTGAAATAATGTCATTCAAATAAGTTGACTCACCTACATAAGTACACTCAAAATGTCCCCACCTTGGGGGAAAACACTGGGGAGTTCTCATAGACCGCCAGCAAAAACAAAACAACATATACATTGCAGTGCATTTCACACTACTTTTGGATAATAATTGGATTGTTAGGCTAGTATGAATGTCCTGCTTAATATAATGGTTGTGTCATCGTGGCAAATCAACTGCATTATACTTAAACAACACTTCAACTTCAACCAGTAAAATGGCTCTTTGGGTAGCTTTGCTACAGTCTATATGAACGAGTGTTAGCATTTTAGCTAAAAACTGCTGCATCCAAAATAGGTTGTGTGCAATGATCACAACCAAATATCATCCTAGCGAACTTTCAAGCAATAACCAAACATTGTAATTATATGAGAATCCTAAAAAGTGTTTTTGTTTAGAAGTAATAACTACGTACATCTAGGATAAATAGAATGGCTGCAGATGGTGAACAGCTTGATTATGATGTGAATTGTGACTCCATGCAGATGTATCAACTTTGAAACATGTTTTTTTCTTATTGGGATGATGGCTATTGCTAATGTGTTCTACCTGATCACATGGCACTTGGTAATTTTCTGCAATTCACATCTTCCAGTATACATACAGTGGGGAGAGCAAGTAATTGATACACTGCCGATTTTGCAGGTTTTCCTACTTACAAAACATGTAGTGGTCTGTAATTTTTATCATAGGTACACTTCAACTGTGAGAGACGGAATCTAAAACAAAAATCAAGAAAATCACATTGTATGATTTTTTAATAATTAATTTGCATTTTATTGCATGACATAAGTATTTGATCACCTACCAACCAGTAAGAATTCCGGCTCTCACAGACCTGATAGTTTCTCTCAAGCCCTCCTGTTCTCCACTCATTACCTGTGTTAACTGCACCTGTTTGAAATCGTTCCCTGTATAAAAAACACCTGTCCACACACTCAATCAAACAGACTCCAACCTCTCCACAATGGCCAAGACCAGAGAGCTGTGTAATGACATCAGGGATAAAATTGTAGACCTGCACAAGGCTGGGATGGGCTAAAAAGGACAATAGGCAAGCAGCTTGGTGAGAAGGCAACAACTGTTGGCGCAATTATTAGAAAATGGAAGAAGTTCAAGATGATGGTCAATCACCCTCGGTCTGGGGCTCCATGCAAGATCTCACCTAGTGGGGCATCAATGATTATGAGGAAGGTGAGGGATCAGCCCAGAACTACACAGCAGGACCTGGTCAATGACCTGAAGAGAGCTGGGACCACAGTCTCAAAGAAAACCATTAGTAACACACTACGCCGTCATGGATTAAAATCCTGCAGCGCACGCAAGGTCCCCCTGCTCAAGCCAGCGCATGTCCAGGCCCGTCTGAAGTTTGCCAATGACCATCTGGATGATCCAGAGGAGGAATGGGAGAAGGTCATGTGGTCTGATGAGACAAAAATAGAGGTTTTTGGTCTAAACTCCACTCGCCGTGTTTGGAGGAAGAAGAAGGATGAGTACAACCCCAAGAACACCATCCCAACTGTGAAGAATGGAGGTGGAAACATCATTCTTTGGGGATGCTTTTCTGCAAAGGGGACAGGACGACTGCACCGTATTGAGGGGAGGATGGATGGGGCCATGTATCGCGAGATCTTGGCCAACAACCTCCTTCCCTCAGTAAGAGCATTGAAGATGGGTCGTGGCTGGGTCTTCCAGCATGACAACGACCCGAAACACACAGCCAGGGCAACTAAGGAGTGGCTCCGTAAGAAGCATCTCAAGGTCCTGGAGTGGCCTAGCCAGTCTCCAGACCTGAACCCAATAGAAAATCTTTGGAGGGAGCTGAAAGTCCGTATTGCCCAGCAACAGCCCAGAAAAGGATCTGGAGAAGGTCTGTATGGAGGAGTGGGCCAAAATCCCTGCTGCAGTGTGTGCAAACCTGGTCAAGAACTACAGGAAACGTATGATCTCTGTAATTGCAAACAAAGGTTTCTGTACCAAATATTAAGTTCTGCTTTTCTGATGTATCAAATACTTATGTCATGCAATAAAATGCAAATTAATTACTCAAAAATCATACAATGTGATTTTCTGGTTTTAGATTCCGTCTCTCACAGTTGAAGTGTACCTATGATAAAAATTACAGACCTCTACATGCTTTGTAAGTAGGAAAACCTGCAAAATCGGCAGTGTATCAAATACTTGTTCTCCCTATTGTAGATGGCGATAATTAGCATAACGCTCAGTGCTTTCCCGCCAAACATTCCTTTGTTCTTTGAGCAGCGTTATTGCATGAGTCAGGCTGGGGCGAGCAACTACAGCGCTGCCCAATTCGTTGCTATTTCGCCAATACAGGTGCATGGTGACTCCACTTACGTCAGCGCCGTCATGCTTACCCCTGCTGAGAGCCAGTGGCTCTAGCACATAGAGATAGATCTATCTCTTTTAGGACTCTGGTGCCCAAAAGCCTGTTTTAGCATGTGCAGCGCCATTGAGGACTTTCACCATTTTTATGCAGTTAACTTGGTGGGACTTCCTATGGGTTAAGGAAGGTTCACATAATTCCATCCAGGTTATTAGGAGGGATCAGCCAATGAATTATACACATGAGCATACATTTCATAACTGCAGATGGCAGTAAATCGCCAACCATGGCTTTATACCTATTCAAACAGCACACTCTGTGGCCGTATGCACCCTTTCAGTTTGTTTACCAACTCATAGAATTAGTGAAAGAAAACTGACTACTTCAAAATGTAGATGGCCTCAATGGCGCTGCCCTTGAGTCATGGGTAACGGCATACGTGTAGTGTGTCTGAAAGTGGGCGAGGCAAAATAAGTGGGTGGATCAGCTAATTGGGCAGATTTGTTGCCACTCAAGACCGTTTTGCCTGGCTGGATTGGGCTGCAGGATGAGTCAATTAACCAGTGCGAATCACTACACTGTAAACCCCAATGTGCTGTCATTACTCAAAGCTTATAAGGAAACCCACATGATTTTGTAGTCATTACTCAAACCAATAGAGTCACTGTGACCCTGTAGGGGTTCCAGATTTGAGTTGTATCAGCTTGAAAATGTTGAGTAACACCCCCACTAAACCATGCATCCAATATAATTTTCCAGTGTGCCTTGCCTTTTCGAGTGAATTGTAGAGTTACAAACCATGACTGTTTTTGTTAATGACAGAAACATGGTTGTTGAATTCATTTATTTTCAGTCCTGTGATCTTCACCAAGTGAGATCCTAGGCGAATGTTATCATTATAATTAAACTCTTTATGACAATAAATTACATATCTGGGAAGGCCTATTTTGAAAAAGTGACTTTGTTATAATAACAAAAACAAAAGGGTGCTTTTTAGTCGTTCAGTTTTTATTGTTATTCTATTTTTGATATCCTCTTATGTTTGTTATTATTTTCATTGTTTTTATTTGTTTTTTCCTGTAAAGCACATTGTGTTGCATTCCATTTCTAAAATGTGCAGTATAAATAAAGCTTGATTGGATTTGATGGATTCTCATTTAGTTTTGCGTCAATACTGAGGAGTATTTCTGTCTGTAATAAAGCCCTTTTGTGGGGAAAACCTCATTCTGATTGGCTGGGCCTGGCTCCCCAGTGGTTGGGCCTGGCTGCCAAGTGGGTGAGCCTATGCCCTCCCAGGCCCACCCATGGCTGCACCCCTGCCCAGTCATGTGAAATACATAGATGTATTTATTTCAATTGACTGATTTCCTTATATGAACTGTAACTCAGTAAAATCTTTGAAATTGTTGCATTCATATTTTTGTTCAGTATAGATGTCATCTTCATACAGTCTATTCAGTGGGGAGGGCATGAACGTTAACAACACCGGGAACACAATGTCCTTCGCTCCCGCTTGCCAGGCACTGTTGTTGCCAGGCACTGTTGTCCCGCAACAGCGTGGGAAGTACAGTACCAGTCAAAAGTTTGGACACACCTACTCATTCCAGGGTTCTTCTTTAATTTTCTACATTGTAGAATAATAGTGAAGACATCAAAACTATGAAATAACACATATTGAATCATGTAGTAACCAAAAAAGTGTTAAACAAATCAAAATATATTTTATATTTGAGATTCTTCAAAGTAGCCACCCTTTGCCTTGATGACAGCTTTGCACACTCTTGGCATTCTCTCAACCAGCTCCATGAGGAATGCTTTTCCAACAGTCTTGAAGGAGTTCCCACATATGCTGAGCACTTGTTGGCTGCTTTTCCTTCACTCTGCGGTCCAACTCATCCCAAACCATCTCAATTGGGTCAAGGTCAGGTGATTGTGGAGGCCAGGTCATCTGATGCAGCACTCCATCGCTCTCCTTCTTGGTCAAATAGCCCTTACACAGCCTGGAGGTGTGTTTTGGGTCATTGTCCTAGATAGGATGGCGTATCGCTGCAGAATGCTGTGGTAGCAATGCTGGTTAAGTGTGCCTTGAATTCTAAATAAATCACTGACAGTGTCACCAGCAAAGCACCCCCACACCATCACACCTCCTCCTCCATAATTCACGGTGGGAACCACACATGCGGAGATCATCCGTTCACCTACTCTGCATCTCACAATGAAACGGCGGGTTGGAAACAAAAATCTCAAATTTGAACTCATCAGACCAAAGGACAGATTTCCACCGGTCTAATGTCTCTGTGAAGCATATATTTGGGCTGCAATCTGAGGTGCAGTTAACTCTAATGAATTTATCCTCTGCAGCAGAGTTAACTTTGGGGCTTCCTTTCCTGTGGCGGTCCTCATGAGAGCCAGTTTCATCAAAGCGCTTGATGGTTTTTGCGACTGCACTTGAAGAAACTTTCAAAGTTCTTGAATTTTTCAGGATTGACTGACCTTCTTGTATTAAAGTAATGATGGACTGTCATTTCTCTTTGCTTATTTGAGCTGTTCTTGCTATAATATGGACTTGGTCTTTTGCCAAATAGGGCTATCTTCTGTATACCACCCCTACCTTGTCACAACACAACTGATTGGCTGAAACGCATTAAGAAGGAAATAAATTCCATTTCATATGATATGTTACAAATTACAATTCGTATGATATATTACGAATTGCAATTCGTAAAATATGTTAGAAATTTGATAAACGTATGACATGTTACAAATTTACATTTACTATGTTACGTCTAGTCTATGAAACCAGACTGAGTATGCAGTTACCCATGGTAGAGGCTATAAGGACATTCCTGGTGCCCAAAATGATGAAGTATGTCGCGCAGCTGAGAGTCAAGTGGAGATTAATGGATTCGGTTCAGTCAGTCAACCTGATAAGCCCTGCTAGCTAGTTTATGCTGCTGGCCAGCTGGCAACAACAGCAGCAGCATGTTGCTAGTTAAACCTTGTAAAATAAAGTGTGTTTATTTCGATGGGCGAGAGAGAATTTACTTTTAGTAAGTTATTGGTCACCATTTGGAATCTGGATGTCACCGTGACAAAATGAGATAATGTAATGACAAGGCGGAGTGAATGACCAGTGATTTGGTGTTGTATCGAGGTGTTTCCCACTGTTGCCACTGGGCAGCAGTTGCTTCACGGGCAGCTGTATCTCATGTCGCTGGCGGTAGTTAACGTGGCCAATTTCCATCTCACTTGATTATATTTTGAGTAAGCAGGATAACAGCATACACGAGAAATAACTTGTAATATTGGTAGTAACCATCTGGATCTCAGGGTGATACAGTCTACTGCTCAAGGGGAGACTTTTTGTGCTGCAAGCCGGCAACACAAGGGGGTGGGAAGAAAAATATTTGAATTTGGCCTTTAAAATATAACCTATAGAAACGCGTTGAATTAGACATTCATAAATGGAAAAACAGACAGTAACGAAACAAAAAAATCACAAGGAATAAGGTTAAGTATCTGTCCTATATCTTGGAGATATAAGAAAGCTCAGGAAATATTTTTGTTTTTTGGACACCTATTTAACCCCTTTTTTTTGTTGGCACAATACTGCCTCCATACTCCCATATTTTTTGTATTTACTTACTACCGGGTTATTTTCAGACGAGTCCCGTGACAGTTGTGGGGGTTTCATCTGTCCATAGAGTGGTCATACTATTTAGTAGACCCAACCATTCGTATGCTACATACATTTTAGTGAGAAGGATGATTTTGGGGATGTCTCTTAGTTTGATAAACAGTGCTGTAGCTCTGCCACTTTCCACCAAAGATGCTGAAGGCAGATGCGGTGGATTGAGATGCAGCCCATACAAAAAAAAACACACTATTGGCTTAAACTGACTGATTTTGATGGGGATTTGTTATTATGTTAATTATATTGGCTCATGGGTGCATCAATAGACTCTTAAGGATTTTAAACTAGCTAGCTGTGGAGGGCTCATTAGGACGACTGACTGAACCGAATCCGTTACGGCTCATGTACACTAGCACGCGGTAAATTTTCCGCGTGCCGCTTCGGCCGCTCAGAGTGGTTCGCTTGTGGGCGTGCTGGCATCATATGGCAGTATATAGCAGCAAGCTCGTTGTGCATCAATAATTCAGCATAGCAAGTTTGTATGAAGGTCTGGTTATTAAATGGGTAAATAGTTTAATCCATTCTCTGTTTTATGAATTTATTCACAGGTAAATAGTAATATGCTCTAAACCGCTCTGGTGACAAACAAACATCGTTGCCCTGTCTCCAAATGGAATAACTTATTCAAGTACCGGTAAGTAAATACATTTGGAAAATGTAAAAAAATATATGTATTATTAGCTAGCTAGCTACAGTGCAGGCTAACTCAAATGAGCTGCTAACGTAGCTAGATACCTATCTAGCCAACTTTACATACTGTATAGCTAGCTAGCTACAGTAAGTGAATTAAATATCACCAGCTACCTAACTTCATATTAGCTAGCTAAACACAAACTCCAAATGCATTTGTAGGTAGCTAGCTAACAGCCATGGAAGAGGGTGAAAGGATAGCAGCTCCAGCTGTCAAGGAAGGGAGAGAGTAGGCTATTCTGGATAGGGCAGGTACTTTTGTGTAGTTCCAGTACCTAGAAAGAAAAACTGAGGACAGAGATAATAGCAACATAATTTTCATTATATTCAGTGCTGTCTAATTTGAGTATAATGAAGCCTGTGTCTTGTGATGTTTTCTGTCCTCAGATACAGAGAGCTGTGACAGCGTGTCTGCAGATGAACAGGTCCCAATGAACAGCAGTGGTTCGCAGTCCTGGTCCTGGGGACTCAAAGCGGTGCACATTTTTGTTTTTGCCTTAGCACTACGCAGCTGATTCAAATGATCAACTCATCATCAAGTTTCAAGTGGTATTTGGGTATTAATTTGTGATGCTATCCTTGATACGATCCTGCTGTTGTCACATGCACCCATCTATCCAATGTTATCATGATTTGTTACAAGAGATATTATACTTTAGTAATCCACAATGACCTGGTGATGTAAAAGTCTAATGATGACATTATCTTCCATATTCCTACAGATACCTTGCAACTGGAGATTCCTTCAAAACGATTGCCCACAGTTACCGTGTAGGGCACTGCACGGTTGGGTGCATTGTCGCGAGTGTAACCAGGGCCATCTGGGACTTCCTCATGGGGGAATTCAGGCCTGTGTGAAGGCTACCTGTGTCCTGCATAACTTCATGAGGATGGACACGAGGACCTGCAGCTCGCCACCGTGTGCCAGAGGAGAGGTCTGCTCTGCAGGATGTTGCACAGATGGGGGCCAACAACGCAGCATGGGAGGCAATCCGTGTGCGGGAGACCTTCACCTCCTGCTTCTTTGAAGAGGGTGCTGTTCCCTGGCAACACCTTGTGCCATAGACTACACTATGCACAACCAAAGGCTCTTTTAAGAGCCACCCACATTGCAATAAGAGTATTCTTACATTTACATTTTACATTTACGTCATTTAGCAGACGCTCTTATCCAGAGCGACTTACAAATAGGTGCATTCACCCTATAGCCAGTGGGATAACCACTTTACAATATCTTTTTTATTTTTTATTTTTATTTTATTTTTAGGGGGGGGGTAGAAGGATTACTTTATCCTATCCCAGGTATTCCTTCTTCCATTTACTTAACTATGTCAACTGAAGTTATTAAATTCCCAGTTTCCCTCCCTTTGATTTCTACTTCTCAGGTGAGGGCCTGTTCAGGTAAGTGTGGTCCTCTGTAGCTCAGCTGGTAGAGCACGGCGCTTGTAACGCCAAGGTAGTGGGTTCGATCCCCGGGACCACCCATACACAAAAATGTATGCACGCATGACTGTAAGTCGCTTTGGATAAAAGCGTCTGCTAAATGGCATATTATTATATTATTATAAGTGTGATGTCTGCACAAAAACAACCATATGCAACATTCTGCCTCACATACTCCTATGGACCATTAAAGTTGGTCCCAAATATTCTAGCTCTAGCACAGTTGAAGATAAGGAATTCACAACAGTTTGACCCTTCCGTTCTGACCTTAAAGTGAAGTGCTAAACAAACTGTTGCCACTCGACCTATGCACCATGATTGAATCAATTTGAATGTCTGTTTACATTGGGATAGTCTGACTGATTCATTTATCGTACTGGAAACTTGTAAATCATTATCCACTTGTGGCGCAGGTGACTTCTTAGGTGTCCATATAGTTGCCTGAGATATTGCAGCAAGTCAGTCTTCTGGAAGTGTGTCAAGCGGTTTCGTGTTATTTTTTTGTAGTCTACACAGCCCAGAGGAATGATAATTGCTGGTGTTTTCTCACTTGCATTGAGTTTCCTCATGTAGCTAAACGCTCGTGTACAGGATTATTTGCTCAAGCGTGATTAGAAACCCATTTTATTCCACAGCCCTCGTATCTTTAAAACGGAATTCTTGAAATGGAGTGCCGTGTGTTGTCTGTTCAGAGTCATGTTGTCAGGGGATACGTCGGGAATAAATCGGCAACATTCCCATTGCAGGTAAGAAATTAATATTTGTACGCTGCTTGCAGGGGGTTTGCAATGTATGCACGTTTGACAGCTCTGCTCGACTAGCCTGGCTACTAAAGATGCTGAGAAAGGGGAGAGAGTACAGCCAAGGGTTTGGAGGGATTCGCAAAATTGGTCAGATTAGCAGAATTTAGTCACAGAATTAACAGAAATGCTCAAAATAGTAATGCAGAATAACAGAGGATACAGTGTACACAACCTGTTCATTCAGACATAATGAATGAATCAATGCAGTGAGTTTTTATGATGTTGACCTCAAATGATTGTGTGTGTTCATGAAGAAAGATGGCATACGCCCACAAAAGTGAAGCATTGTTATGAGCTGCTTCTCTCCTCTCAGGTGCTGGGGTTTGAAGTGGACTCCATCAACTCGGTGCAATTCTCCAATCACACAGGTATGTAGGCCTACAGTGCAGTAATTCCATGCTCTAATATAACATTTTACAAAAACAATTGGCAACAATAGGCTACTTATATAAAAGCACACCAGAAGAAAATCAAATCAAGAATCAAATCAAATCCTATCTCTGGTTGTAAAATGTATGTCTTTGGATCCTTTTTGTCCCATATCAGTAGCCAATATCGTCTTGGCCCATCCCCATCTCGGCCCACATTCAAGATTTCAGTGAATGTGTTTAGTAAGCACAGTGTGTAGCCTAGCTATAGTGGTCTGTAACACTAGTCTCACCCTCTACTTTTTGTGGAGCTCTTTTTTTAACCTCTCCTCCCCCAAGCTCAAGTGTCCCACTTCCACTCAGAGAAGAAGAATTGAGACTTTGTGCTTATCCCAAATTAGTTTTTGGCTCTAACTTGTTCGATTCATTAACCCACTGTCTCCCAAAACACTTTTTCTAATGTTAGGTCATAAAATACTGAAAGTTTCGGAGTGAATGATGATACAATGATCTCATACATTACATGAAATCCAAGTTCTCTGTAAGGTGTTGGAGATAGGCCTACAGGTAACGATTGATAGTCCATCTATTACATTTAACTGTACAGAAAGAAGGGGGATACTGAACTGTTAAGTAATGGGTTCGTAGAGTGCATGCCATTCATTCAGAGATTGAACACTGGGATGGTTGTTTTTTTACTTCTAGTAGGCTGCAGTAGCTATGTTAGCTCATGCTTGACCTTTCAGTATGGGGGTTGGCAGTGGACAAAATAGTCTGCCATGAATCTTTTGATGGTGAGAAGTTAAGATCAATGTCAAGTTATGCCTACAGATCTCAGCCCAATCTACAGTGGAGCTCTGTTTTTCCTTTACTTTTCCCCTTCACCCCCACAGTCCCCCTTCTCTCTCTGATCTTGGGTCTAGGCCAAGGGGGCCTCTCCTAAACTCAGTGGGAAACCTGTATGGCCTGGTTGGAAATGTATTCCCCTCATTCATTCTTGATCCTGGAAAGTCTCTTCATGATTTAACATATAAGCTAGCTTTGTTATCTGACTTACAGGAAAGTACAGTGGAGTTAATATCTGACTTGATAGCGTAGTTTAAAGAAGTTCAGTGAGTTGCTCTCCTGTCTGTTAGTGTTAAGTGAAACCAGAATGTGTGTCAGTGAGTTCACTACCTACAGGGAAGTCTAACCGAGAGCTGGTGGGGAGGACAAGGAAGGAGTGAATGTAGAGAGGGGAGAGATACGGTGGGAAAAAAGCAGACAGACATTTTGTAGCCTGAAAACTTCACTCTGGCCTCAATAAGGTCTGTGCCTGTACATAGAGTTTTTGTTCAAATCATTAATTGCCATCAACAAATGATGTATGTGATGGTTAAAGTGCAGCCTTTCCTTGGAGTTTAGCCCACTGTGCCCCCTCCCTATCATGTTACTGGCCAACTGTTTGAGTGCTAGCCCATGCTCATGACCTACTATAATTTCCCTTGAATGTGTTCAACTGATGTTCAGGGTTAAAGTGAATAAACACATTCCTTATATGTTTGAGCTCTTAAACCCAAGACTGTATTCTTTCTTCCCCTGCAGGTGGTTTATTGGAATATGTTTAGAGATTAGAATCGTTGCTAGGCCTGTTTCTTGCTCAGTTGTGAATGGCTTTTATTTTATTTTTCTATGAGCTGCTATGTCCTCAGCCCAATGTCAGAGATACAAATGCTAGAGGAATGATTGATGCAGGTAACTGAATTCTAACAATGGAGATTGTAATCAGTCTTCCTCTGTCAGAATGTTTGGTTGTCTCTCAGCCTCTTCGTCTCTCCCAACAATCTCCCAAATCCACACTCTGATTAACTGCTTGACAACTTCTACTTCACATTTCCGACTGCTGGTCATAAGAACAACACAGCTAGACTATATAAAGATTTGAATGGCTACAGATAAGAGTTTCTGTATCCCAATTTGCCCAGGTTAAAAATAATAGAGGCCAACCGATATATTGGCCTTTTACCACTATAAATAGGATGGGGAAAAAAGGACTCTCATGCTTATCTGAACACTTGAGGCCATTCTCATGATGTCATTATTGTCATAATGTATGAAATCAACATTTGAAGCATAGTTATTGGACAATTGCTCTTTTGGATGGCAATTTATGAGAATTCAGTTTGGGAAAATGACACTTTTTTAATTTCCCCGCTGTAAAACAGCATATCGGCAGATACAGTGCATTCGGAAAGTATTCAGACCTTGACTTTTTCCACATTTTGTTATGTTACAGCCTTATTCTAAAATTGATTTAATCGTTTTTTCCCCTCATCAATCTACACACAATACCCCATAATGACAAAGCAAAAACAGGTTTTTAGAAATGTTTGCAAATGTATAAAATAAAAAAAACAGATCACATTTACATAAGTATTCAGACCCTTTACTCAGTACTTTGTTGAAGCACCTTTGGCAGCGATTACAGCTTCGAGTCTTCTTGTGTATCACGCTACAAGCTTGGCACACCTGTATTTGGTAAATGTAAAAAAAATATTTGGGGAGTTTCTCTCATTCTTCTCTGCAGATCCTCTCAAGCTCTGTCAGGTTGGATGGGGAGCGTCACTGCACAGCTATTTTCAGGTCTCTCCAGAGATGTTAGATCGGGTTCAAGTCTGGGCTCTGGCTGGGCCATTCAAGGACATTCAAAGACTTGTCCTGAAGCCACTCCTGCATTGTTTTGCCTGTGTGCTTAGGGTTGTTGTCCTGTTGGAAGGTGAACCTTTGCCCCAGTCTGAGGTCATGAGCGCTCTGGAGCAGGTTTTCATCAAGGATCTCTCTGTACTTTGCTCCGTTCATCTTTCCCTCGATCCTGACTAGTCTCCCAGTCCCTGCCGCTGAAAAACATCCCCACAGCATGATGCTGCCACTGCCATGCTTCACTGTAGGGATGGTGCCAGGTTTCCTCCAGACGTGACACTTGGCATTCAGGCCAAAGAGTTCAATCTTGGTTTCATCAAACCAGAGAATCTTGTTTCTCATGGTCTGAGTGTCCTTCAGGTGCCTTTTGGCAAACTCCAAGTGGGCTGTTATGTGCCTTTTACTGAGGAGTGGCTTCCGTCTGGTCACTCTACCATAAAGGCCTGATTGGTGGAGTGCTGCAGAGATGGTTGTCTTCTGGAAGGTTCTCTCATCTCCACAGAGGAACTCTGGAGCTCTGTCAGAGTGACCATTGGGTTCTTGGTCACCTCCCTGACCAAGGCCCTTCTCCCCCGATTGCTCAGTTTGGCAGCTCTAGGAAGAGTCTTGGTGGTTCCAAACTTCTTCCATTTAAGAATGATGGAGGCCACTGTGTTTTTGGGGACCTTCAATGCTGCAGATTTTTTGGTACCCTTCCCCAGATCTGTGCCTCAACACAATCCTGTCTCATAGCTCTACGGACAATTCCTTCGACCTCATGGCTTGGTTTTTGCTCAGACATGCACTGTCAACTCTGGGACCTTATTTAGACAGGTGTGTGCCTTTCCAAATCATGTCCAATCAATTGAATTTACCACAGGTGGACTCCAAGTTTTAGAAACATCTCAAGGATGATCGATGGAAACAGGATGCACCTGAGTTCAATTTCCAGTCTCATAGCAAAGGGTCTGATTACTTTTAATTTTTTATAAATGTGCAAATTTTTATAAAAACCTGTTTTCGCTTTGTCATTATGGGGTATTGTGTGTAGATTGATGAGGAAAATAATTAATTTAATCCATTTTAGAACATGGCTGTAACGTAACAAAATGTGGAAAAGGGGAAGGGGTCTGAATACTTTCCGAATGCACTTTATGTTGGTATCGGTAAGTTTTGTCCCACAAAAAAACGGAATTGGACCCTAAAAAACATATCACTAAGGCTCTAAAAAAAACATGGAAATCTCTGCGCATGTGCAGGATTTTTATTTTTTTTACGTAGGTGAGTGCCCACTCCACTGCCTACGTAGCTGCTGTGCTGTGTGCTCCGCTGCCGCTTCCCCCTCCTTGATCGCCTATGTCTGGTCAATGGTGTAGCCTACAAACTTCATGTTGTAAACAAAACTAATGTGTGCGTAAAATAACACATGCGCAGAACATGATCTGGATCCTTAGCTTTAAGAAAGAGGTTTCTGGAGGGGGGGCCTGGGTGAAAACGATGTATCCGTAGCCATGGCCTATAATGATTGATGACTGGGAGATCAGTGTTTCTATAATCACCTTAGCAACCAAGTCTGCCTCTGGAATTCCTTCAAAGAACCCAGTCTGGTGAATTTACCAGTCCACATTCTCCCTCCATAAACAATAGCCCCCCCCTGTTGTTTGAACTTTTCATTCAGGGTATTGGCAGGCACTTGCAGACTTATCAATCTGTTGAGTGAAGTCTTAAGGTGTTCCGTTACCTCTGACCATTGACATCTCTTGTTTCCAAGGTTACTCTCATTGGAAAGGGCAAGTGCTGACGGCAGATGAACTGAACGTTCTCTATGAGGGTATCAAACTCAATAACGTCAACCGTTATGACTACGTCCTCACAGGTGAGAAAGCTGTTTCCATTGTCAATATGGATTCTGCCATTTAAGCAGTTTTATAACATTTACATAATATTATGTAGGAGTATTATGGCTGTGTTGACCTTTAACCTAATGATCTGTAAAAATTCTAATAAGTTCGTTTTCTGTAATGTTTACACATGAGGTATGTGACCTTTGCATAACCCATAGATCTTCTCTTCCCCAAGGGTACACCAGGGACACATCTTTCCTAGAGACGGTGGTGGACATTGTTCAGGAGCTGAAGAGGTTGAACCCAAAACTGGTATATGGTGAGTAGCCATTGCTACACAGATGTGTATTCCATATAGCTGCATACAGTAAGGTTTGGGATGAATGTAGAGCTTGGATGTGAGTGTGTTCTTATATATTTGCTTTGTGTTATCAGTGTGTGATCCAGTGATGGGAGACCAAGGCACTATGGTAAGTATACCATGCTTATAGTCATTTTATTATAATATTTTTTATCCATGCTTATTATAGTAATTTTCTATTATTATTATTATTATTATTATTATTATTATTATTATTATTATTATTATATAGTCCTGTTTTTCTTCAAACATGTTCAAACCACTAATATGTGCACTCATGAACCTAATACCCTCTTTTCCAGTATGTCCCTGAGAATATACTGCCTGTTTACAGAGACAAAGTCGTAGCAGTGGCTGACATCCTCACACCCAACCAGTTTGAGGCAGAGTGAGTACAGTTGCTACTAGGATACATTGGGTTGCATTTATTAAGTTGCTATGTCCATGTGCTGCACAACATGCCATAATGTACAGTTGAAGTCGGAAGTTTACATACACTTAGGTTGGAGTCATTAAAACTTGTTTTTCAACCACTCCACACATTTTTACAACAATTGTTACAGACAGATTATTTCACTTATAATTCACTGTATCACAATTCCAGTGGGTCAGAAGTTTACATCCACTAAGTTGAATGTGCCTTTAAACAGCTTGGAAAATTCCAGAAAATTATGTCATGGCTTTAGAAGCTTCTGATAGGCTAATTGACATCACTTGAGTCAATTGGAGGTGTACCTGTGGATATATTTTAACTCAGTGCCTCTTTGCTTGACATCATGGGAAAATCAAAAGAAATCAGCCAAGACCTCAGAAAAAAGATTGTAGACCTCCACAAGTCTGGTTCATCCTTGGGAGCAATTTCCAAACGCCTGAAGGTACCACGTTCATCTTTACAAACAATAGTACGCAAGTATAAACACCATGGGACCACGCAGCCGTCATACCGCTCAGGAAGGAGACGCGTTCTGTCTCCTAGAGATGAACGAACTTTGGTGCGAAAAGTGCAAATCAAACCCAGAACAACAGCAAAGGACCTTTTGAAGATGCTGGAGGAAACAGGTACAAAAGTATCTATATCCACAGTAAAACTAGTCCTATATCGTCGACATAACCTGAAAGGCCGCTCAGCAAGGAAGAAGCCACTGCTCCAAAACCGCCATAAAAAAGCCAGACTACGGTTTACAACTGCACATGGGGACAAAGATCGTACTTTTTGGAGAAATGTCCTCTGGTCTGATGAGGAAAAAAAATAGAACTGTTTGGCCATAATGACCATCGTTATGTTTCGAGGAAAAAGGGGGTTGCTTGCAAGCCGAAGAACACCATCCCAACTGTGAAGGACAGGGGTGGCAGCATCATGCTGTGGGGGTGCTTTGCTGCAGGAGGGACTGGTGTACTTCACAAAATAGATGGCATCATGAGGAAGGAAAATAATGTGGATATATTGAAGCAACATCTCAAGACATCAGTCAGGAAGTTAAAGCTTGGTCGCAAATTGGTCTTCCAAATGGACAATGACCCCAAGCATTCTTCCAATGTTGTGGCAAAATGACTTAAGGACATCAAAGTCAAGGTTTTGGAGTGGCCATCACAAAGCCCTGACCTCAATCCTATAGAACATTTGTGGGCAGAACTGAAAAAGAGTGTGCGAGCAAGGAGGCCTACAAACCTGACTCAGTTACACCAGCTCTGTCAGGAGGAAAGGGCCAAAATTCACCCAACTTATTGTGGGAAGCTTGTGGAAGGCTACCCGAAACGTTTGACCCAAGTTAAACAATTTAAAGGCAATGCTACCAAATACTAATTGAGTGTATGTAAACTTCTGACCCACTGGGAATGTGATGAAAGAAATAAAAGCTGAAATAAATCATTCTCTCTACAATTATTCTGACATTTCACATTCTTAAAATAAAGTGGTGATCCTAAGACCTAAGGGAATTTTTACTAGGATTAAATGTCAGGAATTGTGAAAAACTGAGTTTAAATGTATTTGGCTGAAGTGTATGTAAACTTCCGACTTCAACTGTAGCTATCACAGTAACGAGAGAATGAATGCTTACTACAATATTACTACCCAATAAAAAAATGGTTGCTGTTCTTAGCCCTTTGTAGAATAACCCTTATTGGACAAAAACCATTTGTTCCCTTATGTTTTATTCGTAAAGCAACAGACCAAACCTTTCCCCAGCCCTTTAAGTGAACACTGTGCCCTGGTTTATGCATTCGTCATTACACGTGGCTTGACTTGATTTGCCCTGCACACGAGTTCACCTTCTGGACAAATGTAAAATAGCATTGGCTAAAAGAAAAGGCCAGTTTTACACAGAGCATTTTGATGTGTGTATGTGTGCAATTATGTATTGAACCTCTCTGTGCTTGTACTGTGTGTATAACCTCTCAGAATGTGTTTCTTAGGCTGCTGACGGGGAGGAAGATCAGCACAGAAAAAGATGCTCTTGAGGTGGGTTCCATTGTCCACCACTTAAATCTTGTAGAGCTAATACACATTATGATGATGGTTGTAATGGTCAGGATGATGATGGTGGTGGTGGTGATGATGATGGTTTTAATCTTGACTGATGATGGTGAAGGCTCCTTGCTCTCGCAGGTGATGGACCTGCTCCACCAGATGGGCCCTGATACGGTAGTCCTCACCAGCACAGATCTGATCTCTCCTCATGGGGACCAGTTGCTAGTGGCCCTCGGAAGCCAGAAGATGGGTAAGGCAAGGGCCGGAAGGAAGGGCTCTGACTGGTAAAGAAATGTGTCCCTTTAGGTTCTGGGTAGTGCATGTGGAAAGTTTAACTTGACAACATGTTAAAAGGTAACAGACATACTCACACTGTGTCCTTTCTTCAGTGAGACCAGATGGGACTAAGTCCACCCAGAAGATTCGGCTGGAGATGCCCAAGGTGGATGCAGTGTTTGTGGGAACGGGAGACCTGTTCGCTGCCATGCTGCTGGCCTGGACCCACCACCACCCCAAAGACCTGAAGGTCAGTAATACAGGGGACTGGGGAGATAACAACCAAGCTACATAATCATTTACTAATGTAATAAATGTGGTTTGATTTATGGATGAACAAGTCTATCTTTTCATATCTACTTTGTCATCTCTTTTAGGCTGCCTGTGAGAAGACTGTCTCTGTCCTGCACCATGTTATCAAGAGGACCATTACCTATGCCAACAGTGAGATGATATAGAAGTCTCTGCCTGCCTGTCTGTATGCCTGTCTAATTTATATTCCAGTCTTTCTAACATCTCTCCTCTTCTCCATCAGAGATGGCCGGCCCCGGTAAGAGACCCAGCCCTGCTCAGTTGGAGCTGAGGATGGTCCAGAGCAAAAAAGACATTGAGGACCCGGCCATCGTAGTGGAGGCCACCGTCTTATAACACCCAACGCCTCATAAATAGACATAGGATTTTTACACCATGAAATGTCATCTGACTTTGCCTTATAGGATCTCGTAGAGAGCACTATATTTTCATGATGGAGGTCAGTCTGGGTATTTACCCTGCGCACCGCACACACGCATATACTTAATCACTGCCATGTGTCTTTACTATGACCTGAGCCTTGTCACCCATTGGAAAGATGGTAAATGGTATTAGAGGGCCACAAACAGGGTAGGGGTATTACCGTACATCAGAATAGAGAAGTGGAGGTATGGATGCCTGATTGGCCCTCAATTTGGCGTGGGCATTGATTGGCATGGCATGGGCCCTGAGTTTCCCCTGACAATGTGAGCTGACCAGGAAAATCTCTGAGCCTCAGTTATGGGTTGGGGATAGATCATAGGCTTTTATCAGATACAGTGATGCATCAACATGAGTTGTGCTATCATGATCATGTTATGCAATACTAATCCATGCACATTTGATCATCAGATTTTCAATTGTCAATGTTTCATTTTAGGCAAAAAGTATATTATTTGATAGTTGAAAATTGTAGATGTTAGTTTTCATACTTTTTATGTTCCTTTTACTTGTACTACTAACGTGCTTTGTCTGTCCGAATACTAATACTTGTTATATAATTCTTAAATGTCTTACACATTTCAAACTGAGGTACCAATATTTGCACAGATAGTCTTGATAAACATGTTTATTATGAATTGTAATCATTGAATGTTTTTCATGGTCTTGATTGTCTCACTATTTTCTATCGTTACTAGAACACAGGCCTATGTCGGTATGAAAAAGTACAAATTGGCCTTAGCGGAGTGTGTTGGAGGAATATGTTTTGTATCTGTGCCTGCCAAGGTAATTAAATAAATCTTTACACAATGTTAGAAAGATATGTGCAAAACCTGAAGCTGCTGCTCTGAGATGGAGTATATAATAAATATTAATATTTTAATTAAACCCACAGGTCTCTGTAGTTTCTTCAAGCCTCTCTAAGGTGAGGGCCTCCTGTACCTGTTGCTTTGGTTCCCTTTGATGTGATTACAGTGAGATCAGTAGTTTTCTGTACTACACTCAAGAGTCCTAGGGGCACACTAGCTTTATGCAATGTTCTCATTGGAGTATTAATTGATCCCACAGGTATTGGTGCCTGGAAACAAATGATTTCTGCCAGCAGTGAATTTCTATTTTCTATATTGTTGTGGTTGTGCTTTCAATAATGGATATAATATGCCACAAAAGGTGAATGTTAGAGATTATATAAATAGATTGGAGGAATATTACAGAACAGAACATTCAATTACTGGCTGGCTGGGGGCCTGTGTGCCTGTTGTATTCTGGTGAGATTAGGGGCAGGTTTCATAGCCTCAGATTGGTGCACTAATCCCAGCATGGATAGTTTGCATTAACCCAAATAAACAGGCAGGCCAAGTAAAGAAGCTCACGCTGTGCCAAGGCAACACCAACCAAGTTGATGAGTCATGCTTTTTGTTTGGGGTGTCTGACTGTAACTGTGCCAGGCCTGTCTGACCAGCAACAACACTATCTGTGGTTAAACAACCAACACCTGAGTGCCACTGGAGGTTGAGGAGGCAGTGGTTAGTTACAGTAACCAGCAGAGGGCGTCAGACCGTTAGCCCTGATCCATCCCATGCTGCTCAGAGCTGGGCTGTACATGACTGTACAGAGGACCATCAATAACCATAAGGGGATAGCATGAATCTTCTTGATTGTTGGAATGGTTATCTAGACAAGCACCATGTGAATATTGGCAGTCATGATGTATAGTGGGTTGACTTGCACTGCAATGTGTTTAAAAAAAGCCTTATGTGGCTGTAGTTCCCTGTACTGTACTACTGCAATGTATTGTATCTTTCACCTCTGTGGTGATGATGATGATGATGACTGTGACTAACAGTTAAGCAAGACAATGCCACATTCCCAGAGTAAAAATAAATAAATCCTAATTTGTCTGTATCTGAGCTACTGTGTCTCAGTCAATGATGCATACAAACCCTGGATTGCTGATGCTATGTATTGGCCAATTGGAGGCTTTGAAGCCACCTGTCGGCCATATTGGCACTCCACAGAAGGAGCAGTCCTCCACAGGAATGAATGGAATTCTACAGTATTTCAATTAAACATTTCAAGGACAAAATTACATGTATTTAAGTATTGTTTTGTTGTAGTGGGGACAGTAACATTAGAACTTTCTAAAAATTATACTTTAAGGAAAATGTTTGTATATAATTTTCATGTTTTCTTTTTTTATGTTTAGCTCACAATAAAATGTAAAAGTATGCATTACGGTGTATGTAATAGAATAAACGTAACAAAAACAAATGTAGACAGGAATAAATAAATTTCTATAGCATCCAAAATATTTTGGTCTGGGAGTGCAATAGGCTCTATGCACGCATCACTTCCGCATTGGCGTAAGGATGCTTGGGCATTTCCGGTTACCGGAAAAAAAAACATTAGACAGTGACAGTAGACCGTTATGATGTCAGAGATGAAGTTTACAAGGTGTTTGCTGGAGTTGCCTAAAGTATCTGTTAATGATATACGGAGGGTCGTCCGGACATCCAGTACGACACCACGTAGCAAACTGGATAAAGGCTTCAAATTTTACGTTTCTTCTTTTCATTGCAACTTTGAAGGTAATATGCTAACGCTAGCTAGCCTGAGCTAGAAGCCTTGCTTTGGTGTTTTAAGTCATGACTCCGTCCTGCTTCAGGTTAATCATGCTTTAAATAAAGTTGAATCATGTGTATATACCTCTCACTTCATGTGTTTGTACTTTTATGAAAGTATCAGGTAAAAACAGGGCTACAAATGAGATCTCTGTGAGAGCCCACTGCTCCCGCTCAATGAAGAAACTAAAGCCACCACACCAGCTGAGAGTAGGACTAGATTAAGTGGCATGTTCAAAGTTCCGTTCAACACATGTTTTACTCGTTTAATGTTACCACAGCTTAGATACTTTACTCATCCCGAGGGAAATTCAAGGTTTCCAGTAGCTTACAACAACACACATCACACATGCAGCATTTAAACAGATAATAATACTAGTCATTGTTGACAGCTCAAATACATAGGCCTATATATTAAACACATTGGACATTTTAATTTACCTTGTGAAAAACCTTATGTCATCATCAGATCCAGCAAACCGCTCCAAGCAGAACTTGCTGCTGATAGTTATCTCCTCAATTTGATTTCGGAGCCTTGCTATCTCTACACTAAGTTCTTCATTGTGGTCAAGGGACATATCCAGCGCAGCAGGTTCAGTACTGTTGCAGTAGTCATGGTCAGGAGGACAGTCCAATTCCACAGACGGATCATTCATGGTTTCTGTGTTGGGACGCTCTGTCCTTTCCCAAACTCCGGCCCGTGGGGCTGGAAGACTGAAATTGTTCCATTGAAACAGCACTGGAACAGCTCCCTTCTTCAGACTTCTGCGCCCAGCTGGAGTCGGAGGCTCTATCACATCTTCACTTAGAAAGTGTCGGCTGAAGACTCGTGTGTTTGTTGTAAGAAAGTTGACTCGTCGAATGTTAATCATCCACCATTTATGTAATTCACTGTCTTTGTGAAAAGTAAAAAAAACTAACAGAAGAATTGCATCTGGCAGACACTGTACATTGCGGCAAACAGCAGTGATGGCTGGAAGAGCTGTCATCCTGTTTTTGAAAGGACACTTTCGTATGTTTACACGTCATCGTGTTATAAGTCAAGACGAAGTATTACAAGTAAAAACATTAACATAAATATTAAGATAAACAACAACAACGACGAAAATGAACCGTTTCGGATGTTTTTGACGACAAGCATTCAATGCTAGCATACGGTAGCACAGCATTCTACGATAACCGGAAGTTTACATCCATCCTGAGATTTAAAAGGAAATACGTCATGCTCGCCTGTGCATATCGCCTATGGTGTATACAATGGTGGGGGAGTACCAAGATGGAGGTGCGGTGGCTTTAAAACAGCGCCCCCTGCCAGTCATCTAAGAGCACCATTGAGAGGATCTTGACTGGCTGCATCACCGCTTGGTATGGCAACTGCACACCCTCAATCGCAAGACACTACAGAGGGTGGTGCGGACGGTCCAGTACATCACTCGGGCCGAGCTCCCTACCTTCCAGGAGCCTCCTGCCATCCAGGACCGCACGGCAAGCGGTACTGGAGCGCCAAGTCTGGGATCAAAAGACACCTGAACAGCTTCTACCCCCAAGCCATAAGTCTGCTGAACAGTTAATCAAATGGCTACCCGGACTATTGCATTGACCCTTTTTGACACTAACTTTCTTACATTGACTATGCACACTCACTGAACTCTACCCACACACTCACACATACTTACACTGACACTCCAACACACACACATACACACACACACTACATACGCTCACACACACAAAACACACATGCATATTGACGCCACATACTGTGCACAAGCATTCACACTCTCCACATATGCTGCTACTACTCAGTTTATTATCTATCCAGATTGCCTAGTCACTTTTACCCGTACCTACATGTACAGTGCCTTCAGAAAGTATTCACACTCCTTGACTTTTCCCACATTTTGTTTTGTTACATCCTGAATTTATAATGGATTAAATTGAGATGTTGTGTCACTGATGTACACACAATACCCCATCATTTCAAAGTTTATAGAAATGTTGAATTAATTCAAAATGAAAACCTGAAATGTTGTCAGCCAATAAGTATTCAACCCTTTTGTTATGGCAAGCCTAAATAAGTTCAGGAGTAAAAATGTGCTTAACAAGTCACATAATAAGTTGCATGGACTCACTCTGGGTGCAAAAAATAGTGTTGAACATGCTTTGTAAATGACTACCCCATCTCTGTACCCCACACATACAATTAATTATCTGTAAGGTCGCTCAGTCAAGCAGTAAATTTCAAGCACAGATAAAACCACAAAGACCAGGGAGGTTTTCCAATGCCTCGCAAAG